TTTAAAGTTATTTTCAAGAGAGATCTCTGGAGGATCATGCCGGCTAAGGGCCGTGTATCATTTCGTAATGGGATTGGCAGCTCACCCAGAGAATTGCGGGGTGTGTGTGTTGGGGGTGTGTGGAGAAGCAATTTTGCAAACGGAGCCATAACCGATGGCGTCAGGAGGACAGTGGAGGGGAAAAGGGAGAGGAGAGATTGCAAAAGACAATCAAGGCCCCCAAGGGCTGTGGTCTGGGAGGGCGGCTGGAAGGACCCCCAAGTACCCCCAAGTGCCCCCCCCGGCTCCAGACCAGTGTTCCCTCTAAGCTGAGTGAGTGTGAGCTAGCTCACAATGTTTTAGCCTCCGGCTCATGCGTTTTGATCTCAGCCAGTTTGGTGTCGTGGTGAAGTGCGCGGACTCTAATCTGGGAGAACCGGGTTTGATTCCCCACTCCTCCACTTCCACCTGGCTGGATGACCTTGGGCAAGCCCTAGTTCTGATAAGAGCTGTTCTTGAAAAAGGGCAGTTTCTGTCAGAGCTCTCTCAGCCTCACCTACCTCACAGGGTAGGGTGTCTGTTGTGGGGAGGGGGAAGGGAAAGGGGTTTGTGAGCCGCTCTGAGACACCTTTGGGTAGTGAAGGGCGGGGTATGAATCCAATCTCTTCTCTTCTTCTTCTTCTGCTCATGACGGAGGGCTCCAGAGCAAACTAATTTACGCAGCAGCCAAATCGCCCGCTCACAACTTTAATGCCAGTAGCTCGCAAAGTAGAATTTTTGCTCACAGGACTCCACAGCTTAGAGGGTGCATTGCTCCAGAGCAAACTAATTTACACAGCAGCCAAATCGCTCGCTCACAGCTTTAATGCCAGCAGCTCACAAAGCAGACTTTTGGCTCGCAAGACTCCACAGCTTAGAGGGAGCATCGGTCTTGACCCGTGTTTGTAAGCCGAAGGGCGGGGTATAAATCCAATCTCTTCTTCTTCATAGCAGCAACAATAATACTATCAATATCTAAAATTATGTTTGATGTGACTTCAAACGCTTCAACATTTTATCCCGCCCCATTTCCGGCCAAATTTAATTCCTTTTCGTGGGTCGTAAACGTTTGGTTGTTTTTTTTTCCTGATGCGAGGGGGAAAACCCCATGTTTTCTTCAACCCTAAAAGTTCATTTTTCTTCTTCTTCTGAATTTAAAAGAAATGTGGACATTTACGTGGGTCCGAGGGACAGTGCCTGATGGATAACTCAGCCCTGGGGGGGAGAGAGAGAGAGAGAGGGAGGGAAGAAGGGAGGGGGAGAGAGAGAGAGAGAGAGTTCTCCCTGGGCATACAGTTGCCAACTCCAGGATAGGAAATTCCCGGCGAAGTGGGGGCGGAGTCTAGGAAGGGCGGGGTTTGGGGAGGGGAGGGGCCTCCGTGGGCTTTAGTGCCGGGAATCCACCTTCCAAAGCTGCGGTTTTCTCCAGGGAAACTGGTCGGTGTAGTCTGGAGATCAGTTGTAATCCAGAGATCTCCAGGTTCCACCTGGAGGTTGAGAACCCTACCTCGTGGAGGGGGCATGGCCTAAACCCCCCCCACCAAAAATCCTGACGGTGACGTTGCCTGACACAAAAGGAGAGTCTTGATACAGCTAAATGTGTGAGGCGTGCAGTCTTGAGTTCACCTTTCTCCTCTGCCACAGATTTGCCAGAAGGCCTTTGGCCTGTTGCTCTCTCCCCGCCTCAGTACCTTTAGTCTGTAATACTGGAGTAACACTGCCACTTCATAGGGTTGCCGAGCGTGGAAGGTGGGCTTTGGGGGAAGGAGAGGACCTCAGTAGGTTCTAGTGCCATGGAGAGTCCACCTTCCAAAGCAGGCCTTTTCTCCAGGGGGACCGTTCACTGCAGTCTGGAGCAATGTTCCCTCTAAGCTGCGGAGTCTTGTGAGCAAAAATTCTACTTTGTGAGCTACTGGCAATAAAGTTGTGGGCGAGCCGTTTGGCTACTGCGTTAATTGGTCTGCTCCGGAGCCCTCCCTTCCTGAGCGGAGACAAAAAGGTGTGAGCTGGAGGCTAAAAAACTGTGAGCTGGCTCACACTAACGCAGCTTAGAGGGAACGCTGGTCTGGAGATCAATGGTAATGCCAGGAGGTCTCCAGGCAACCCTAATTACCAGCCTCCTGGCAGACCCGACTTGGGAGACAGGAATATTAAACTTGGTTTCCAAAGAGCTGGTTACTTACCAAAAAAAAGAGAGAATGCAAGCTACAAATTAAAACAAAACAACCCCTAGAAATCCACATTTCATCATTCTCTCTCGCCCTTCCCCGTCTCTTTCGGTGCCAGTTTGGTGTAGTGGTTAAGTGTGCGGACTCTGATCTGGGAGAACTGGGTTTGATTCCCCACTCCTCCACATGCAGCTGCTGGTGTGGCCTTGGGTCAATCATAAGTTCTCTCAGAGCTGTTGTCTCAAGGGCAGTCCTCGGGAGAGCTCTCTCGGCCCCGCCTACCTCACAGGGGGTGTCTGTTGTGGGGAGGGGAAGGAGTTTGTAAGCCGCTCTGAGACTCCTTTGGGTAGTGAAGGGCGGGGTATAAATCCAATCTCTTCCTCCTCCTCTTCTTCTTCTTGTCCTCCTCCTCCTCCTCCTCCTCCCCCTCCTCCTCTTTTCCTCCTCCTCTTCTAGGTCTCAATTAAACAATTGTACAAACAGGAGGGACAGTGGAGAGGCAGCATCGTGCAGTGGCTACAGCCCACTGAGCATGTCGCTTGGGGTATTCAGTGCCGGACGCTGCCTGCACCCCTCAGTGGTTTGGCATTTATTTCTTACCCATCCCTTCAGCGTGCGCCGGGGGGGGGGGGGGGGGGGCGCAAAACCCCACGACAAACCACCACCTGTTTTCTAGGAACAGGAAGAACACGAGACCCTGATGGATTCCCTGGTTTAACAAGCGGCTCTTCTTCCTGTCTACGGACGCCAAGAGCGGGAGGGAAGGACGGTGGAGCCCAGACGTCTAGGAGGAGCCCAGCAGGAGAGAGCCCCTGGAAGGCCGAGCGGTCTGCCAGATGTGGAAAGGGGGGGGGGCTGCTGGCAGAGCTTTCCCAGCCACCGTTCCGCAAGGGAGACTTTTCCGTGGGGCCCTCCATGGCAGCTTCCGACGCGCACTCCATCTTTCTTTCCTTCCCGAGGCCCATGCACATCCTAGTTATGCTCTCCAGGGTCACAGGCAGTCCAGGGTCTTTCCCATCACCTCCTGCCTGGTCCTTTTTAAGTGGAGATGCCTGGGACTGAGCCTGGGACCTCCTGCATGCCAAGCAGAGACTCCACCACAGAGCCAAGGCCCCTCTCCATGGCTCTCCAGTGTCTCAGGCTGAGGTCTTTCCCATCACCTCCTGCCTGGTCTTTTTTAACAGGAGATGCCGGGGATCGAACCTGGGACCTCCTGCATGCAAGCAGATGCTCTGCCACTGAGCCACAGCCCCTCTTTACAGCCCTCCAGGGTCTCAGGTGGAGGTCTTTCCCATCCCCTCCTGCCTGGTCCTTTTGAACTGGAGATGCCGGGGATTGAACCTGGGGCCTTCTGCATGCCAAGCAGATGCTCTGCCACTGAGCCACAGCCCCTCTTGACAGCTCTCCAGGGTCTCAGGCGGAGGTCTTTCCCATCACCTCCTGCCTGGTGCTTTTGAACTGGAGATGCCGGGGATTGAACCTGGGGCCTCCTGCATGCCAAGCAGATGCTCTTCCACTGAGCCACAGCCCCTCTTCACAGCTCTCCAGGGCCTCAGGCAGAGGTCTTTCCCATCACCTCCTGCCTGGTCCTTTTAACTGGAGATGCTGGGGATTGAACCTGGGACCTTCTGCAGGCCACGCAGAGGCTCTGTCACCAAGTCACAGCCCTTTCCCTTTTGTATCTTGCCCCCTCAGTACAAGATGCATGGTCCACCCCCCAATAATACAGTATCATAGAATGATAGAGTTGGAAGGGACCTCCGGGGTCATCTAGTCCAACCCCCTGACCAATGCAAGAAATCCACAAATACCTCCCCCTTCACACCCCCAGTGACCCCTGCCCCATGCCCTGAAGATGACCAAAACAAAAACACAAAACCCCCCTCCAGGATCCCTGGCCAAACTGGCCTGGACAAAAATGACTTCCTGACCCCAAAGTAAGGGAAAGGTTAAGTTAGCTATTGTAGAAATTCCAGGCTGCATGGCCGTGGTCTTGGCACTGTAGGACCTGACGTTTCGCCAGTAGCTGTGACTGGCATCCCCAGAGGTACAACACAGAAAGACGGAGTACTCTCTGTGTCAAGGTCCTATAATGCCGAGACGGTGGCCATACAACCCGGAAAATCTACAACAGCTAATGAACTCCGGCCGTGAAAGCCCTCGACAACATAGTAAAGGTAAAGGTTTCCCTGGCTCAAAAGCCAGTCGAATCCGACGAGGGGGCGGTGCTCATCTCTGTTCCCAAGCCGAAGAGCCAGCGTTGTCCAAACACTTCTCCGTGGTTACGTGGCCAGCATGACTAAACGCCGAGGTGCACGGATCGCTGTTACGAAGCATATTTATCCACTTGCAGTTTCTTGCTTTTGAACTGCTAGGTTGGCAGGAGCTGGGACCAGAGACGGGAGCTCGCTCCGTCATGCGGCACTCGGGTCTCGAACTGCCGAACTACCGACCTTCCGGTCTGCAGCTCAGCGCCTTGACCTCTGAGCCACTGCGGTCCCTTTGACCCCAAAGTAGCGATTGGCATTTCCCCAGGTCTGTAAGGAAGGGCCACGAGAAGTAAGCTCTGAGTAATTCGATGATTACTTTCTCTCTCTCTCTCTGTGTACTCTGTGATCTAACCTTGAGTCTCCGTCAGCAAGGGGAGCTATAAATAACCGAAATAATAAGAATAACGATGTGATTTGTGTTCATAAAATCTTTGGGTAGCGTGGAGGGGACTGGGGGGGACCCGCAGGGCGGTCACGTCCGTCAACAAGAAAACACAGCCTTCTCAGGACACAGAGATTATATATTTCAAGCACCGTCTTAGAAGCTCCTCCGGACACCACGTTCACAGAGAGTCTCAGTGCTAGCAGACTGCGCAACTGGGGGGTTTGGCTTCCTACACAGTAGGATATACTTCTTCTTTTTTTTACTTCTCTTGTACAAAGTTAAAACAATGAAATATACATTATATATATATATATATTTATATTTCTACTTATGTACAGTATCTCGAAAGGGTCCCAGGGAGTCTACCGAGCTCCCTGCTCACATGTTAAAAACCTGGACGGATTGGGCCTCCCCTGTCCCCCTCCCGTCTGTCTCGCCCTTCGGTCCGGATGTTCTGGGATCCTCCAGCAAGGCTGCCTGTCCTTTCAGGGCGACCGGAAGGCCTCTCTCGGAACGACGTCTCCCGGCTCGCTCTCAAATCCTTGGAAAGATGCAACGGGCAACTCCGGGGTAGATGCAGGCGTTTTGGGAGAGCCTGCACAATTGAAACCGGGGCTCAGCTGGGCTTGTAAACACATCTGCCTTGGTCACCTCTGGTGAATGAGAAATCACTGCCAGCCGAACAGGCTAGAAGTAAAGCGGTTGGGGACTATGGCTCAATCCCGCTGCAGATCTGTCCCACTGATGTTACCTCTTTGTCCAGCGCAAGAACCATTCCCCGACACCAGAGAGCCTTGTGTCGGAGAAGGGGCTTCTGTTAGAACGGATCTGCGGGACCCAACCCTCCCTCCCTTTTTGTTTCCCTTGCGAACTAGCTGCAGACAACCGGCACAGATACTCTCCAAAATTCTTACGGACTAGAAACTTCTGTGGACTTGTATGTAAGCTCAGGCTTACCAATGATTGTTTAAACCCCACAACGTACAAGGATGCCAGAGCCCAAGAAGTCACTGCCGATCAGTTCCAGTTCCTTAGATCCTGAAGTAATTTGGGAAGCAGATCACGAGGTTCAAAACGTGATAGCCCATGGCTAGCTGTCGACACAATTGACACCCCTCTCCCGGTATTTCTCCCCTTCCTCTAAATCACAGACACAGGGAACAAGGATGCAGTGCTGAAACTCCTGTGTTTTCCCCCCGCAGGGCCCGCTGAATTTGGCTTGGTAAAATATTCTCCCCCCGAAAGCAAGACGCAGGTTCTACTAGATCCAGTAGACACGATATTCTCCTTGCCGAAAAGGTGGCCCAGAATGGCGATGAAGATGTAAACAGGAGACCCCCAGCTCAATCTCAAGAAAGACACAGATAACAGGAAGCTCCACAGTCCCTATTACCGACGGCATCAGCCGAGGTTCCAGCGTCCACTTCAAAATGGGGGTCTACCCAACTCGATACAAGCTCGGAGAACGAGCGACTACCACATGTTCTGGAAACCTCCTTTTTCTTCCCAAGGAAGAAGTGTGCTTTGCCTTTCCAAGATGGCCACCAAAGAGATGCCGTATTCTGACCTCAAAGAAAAAGTGCTCGTACCGTGGTTGGAAAGGCCATACTTTCCCATTGGCAGCGGCCTCTGTGTGCATGCTATCTTTCAGCCTCCCCTCCAAAAGGTGCCAGTGCGCTACCCCAGGAGTCGAGTTGCTTGACTCCCTACAGAATCACCAAGGCCATCTGGCGTTCTAAATTCTCTGGAAGAGACAGCCACATTCAGGAAGAAATCTCAAGCCAAAGCTTCCAAGGTCTGGAAGTCATACCTTTCCAAAAGGAGGTGTCCCCCCAAAAAAACTGTGAAGCAAATTCAAGATGTAAACCTACCCAGGACAGGAGTCTATTGCTACGTCCACAGTTTCCCCCAGCGAATGTGGAATTCGGTGCCCAGTCTTTGTAATATCCCTTCTCTAAGCCAAGTTTCTAATCCTCACGCTGGCAGAGATAAAGCATAGAAACTTTAAGGGCCTGAAACTTTGCGTGCCCAAATTTGAGGCGGCTGAACAAGTATCTAGAACACCTCAGTAGCCCCCCCACCTGTGTTTCTGGCTTCCTACAGCCTCTCGCCCCGACAGGCCAAATCTGTTTACCCTCTGCTCTTTAGCTAGCCTCTCTGCCCTACATCCCTTCCATTTTTATTTGCAGAATTTAAAACGGTGGGCACGAGCACTGAACTTCGGCCAAAAGACTTTGGCAAGATTCTCCCTGGCCATTGGGACAGCTGCCCATCATAGGAGGCAGCCAATGGGAAAAGCATACAGCCAGCGCTTCCTTCCCACTGTTTTCAAAGCGTGTCCCTCCCCCTACCACAAGGCATGCTGGGGTTTGTAGTCCTGTTTCTCCAGCCGCCTCTGGTTTTGAAATGGCAGGACGGGGCCGCCGAAAGAGTAGGCGGAGGAGAGATTCCCCCCTACCCCACGGCTCCAGGTCTGAACGAGTCCCTTGTCCGAATGGCTCAGTAATTGAACTGCCCCGAGGTCTGGGCTGGAGGAGAAGAAGGCATGAACAAGGGTGTCGGCGCGACTCCGGGCTTCACCATGGAGACCGATCGCTTCATGCCGCCGTGGCTAGGCAGCGAGACCTGGTCGCCGTAGCTGTGCTGTCGGGCCAGGAAGATGGCATGGCCTTCCTGAGGCATCGGCGTCGGCGTGGAGTGCATGCGCGTGAGGAGCGCAGGCGGATGCCGCCCCGTTTGACTGAGGCTGTGGTGCCGCGAGAGCATGCCACCGCTGCCAATGTTCACCAGCTTGGGGGCCATGCAGAGCGAGTGTCTATGTGAGGGGTGCCTCCCCGATTTCTCCAAGCATGCCTGGGGAGGGGGGTCTGGGGGGACGTCGAGCCGCCGGGGCAGGCTGTCCCTGGGCAGAGTGGATGAACTGTAGTAGGGGGCGCTCTCGACGTCGGGGATCTTGGGCTGCACTCGGTTGGCAAAGGACAGGGCGGAGTGGGGACCTGTGGATGGGAGATGCCCGGGGACCTTTGGCGGGGGGCCACTGCTTTCGTGGAGATGTTTCAGGAGCTCTTCCAGAGTCGTCACCTCCATCCCTTTCGGCAGGTAACACTGAGAATGGCGCACCAGGACGCGCTCAGAGTTGGGGATCTTCTTCTCGTCCAGGTAGCTGGTCAACGGCGCGTCGTAGCCATGCAGGTTGCTGGGAAGGACCATGCCGCTGGGGAAGGGCAGGGCGTGGCTGTTGGAGAGGGGTGTGTGGAACAAGTGGGCCTTCCCTTGAGACTCCTTGGCGTTGTTGAAGTTCTGGTTCTTCTCCCACTGGTTCCGGATGGCCTTCATGTTCTTCATGGGCAGCTCGGGGGTGGACTCGGGAGTGGGCAGGCCCGAGAGCTCCGGGTGTTCCTTGACCCCTGCTTTGGCGGTCATATGGGGCATCTCCTTTTCACTCGGCAGCAGCGTGGTGTAGAGTTTCGGGGCAGTGGCTTCCATCAAGCCCTCTTTGGCCTGGTTCTCCAGGAGGCCGTTCATCTTGGCCAGACTGCGGAGGGATAGCGGGCGTTGGATGCTGCTCTCGGGGTCTTTGTTGGCGTGCTTGGCCTTCTGGAAAGTGTGGTTGCAGTAACAGGAGACGAACAGACCCGACAGGAAGGCCCCCAAGATGAAGGCCACGAAGATGCAGCCGATCAGGAAGGTGAAATGGACCGTCTTCGTGCCGTCTTTCCCCTCCGATTCCTGCCGCACCCCTAAAGCAATTTGGACACACAGAATCAGAATTAGAAACTAGAGGTAACCATCCGACTATCCCCGGTTGTGTTCACCTTAGATTGACCCAAGGGATTAAGAAACTGTGGGGTGGTGGGAATTGGAAGTCGGACAGAATTTCACTCAATTCATTATGACTTTGTTACTATCTCCCAGAAATCTCTAGGCTAGCTCCCATGGATCCTTTCCACTAACGGTGGCACCAACTTGTACAAGCAGCCTTCCCCTGATGTCGTTTCAGAGGGTAACTATGGTTGCTTTGCCGCAGAACATCCAGATGGGAATCCACTAGCACCTTAGGCCAACAAGGTTTTCAGGATAACAGCCTCCAAGAGTCAACGCTAATCTTTTAAAGCCTTCTCGATCTTGGGTCCTCGTTATCTATGGGTCAGTCGCTCTCACTACAACCCCCCCTTTGCCACCTTTGGTCATCTTCTCGGGGCCTATTGCAGGTTAGGGTTAGGGTTAGTTAGCTGTTCCCGGGGGAAGGGCTTTCTCAGTGATGGCCCCTACCCTGTGGAAGGCCCTCTCTGATGATACCTCTGCTCTGCAGGACTTCCTTAGTTCCCTTAGGGCTTGCCAGGTCAAATGGTTTGGGTTGGCCTTTGGAGGTTAGCCAGATGTTCTGGGTTAGTGATATGGTGCAGAGTCATGTATCTTAATATTTTATACATTTTATCTAGGGTTGCCAGACCCCACTAGTGGAGATGGGGGTCCCCAACCACCAGGTCCTGCCCCCCAGCTGCCGATCAGCTGGCCCGCAGAGGGACTTACCAATAGAAAGAGGAAAGCCTAGGCCACGTTGCTGGCATTGCACAGGAAATGGCATCATCATGCCGGCGATTTCTGGGTAACGCTCGGGTATCTGGGCAAAAACTCTATGGAAGAAGCCGATTTTACCATAGTGTTTCCCCCAAATACCATAGCATCCCCAGGAAGTTGGTGCCACGATGATGTCACTTCCTGTGCAACATAGCCTGGGCCTTTCTCTTTCTCCTGGAAGTTCCCGTCATCCCCTGCTGGCTGCCAGGAGGGACCTGGGAACCCTAGTATTATTGGATTTTGTTGGTTTCCAAGTTATTTATTAGGATGTTGTTTAAATGTCGTAAGTTGCCGCGAGACCCTTTGGGTGAGCAGGGACTAAAAGAATCTAATAAATAAGATGCAACTAAAATAAGCCTGACAAAAGGAGCCTTGAGTCTCGAAAGCTCCTACCTGAAAACCTTGTTGGCCTCTAAGGTGCTGTGGGACTTGAATCTAGCGGGTTCTCCTGATGTCAAAGAGCTTCCTGGGTCAGGGGTAGGGATGGGCACAAGCCACATTTTTGCAATTTGGTTCCGTTCATGTCCGACGTACAAATCAAACCATGAATCCATATGAACGAGGAGTTAGGTTCGCGAACTGACCAGGTTTGCGTCAGTTCCTCAGCCGTTTAAAGTTTAAATCCCTGTTCTGTGCTTCCTGTTGCTTTTCATGGGGAGCAGAAAGCAGAGATTAAAATGGCTCCCGGCCTTTTAAACCAAACAGCTGTTTCTCACGAAGATCAGAAAGCGGGGGGTTTAAACCCCCACTTTCTGCTCTTCACGAACTGCCACGAACTGCATACAAAAATCTGCGAAAGTTCATGGTGGTTCTTCAGTCCGCGAACATTGCGTCACGAACCGTGAAACGGCCAAAATTCGTGACAAACTTCAGTTCGTCAGCCGGACTCTGCCCATCCCTAGTCAGGGGAAAGTGGTCTGGCTCCTAAAGGGTTTGTTCAGTGGGAACGTGGAGGATTCTGTTCGAAGGAAACTGGGAAGTCAAAGAACCAGAAGAAAACATACTGCCTTGGTGCGTCTGATGCCGAATGGGTGACAATATGGTCCAACGGAGGAGGATGAAATGGTGGGAATGAGATGGAAATGGATGACAGGAGGGGTGACGCTGGACCCCCGACTGCAGCCGAGTGGGGCGGCATTTGCTCCCAAGGAAGCCCACCAGACTGGCCGAGGCCAGGAGCCGGGTGCAACTTGGAACTGGCCGCTGTAGAACTTCAAGGTTTCTTCTCCCCACCATGTGCTCAGGCGTGCATGGAATAGATACGGCGGCCGCTTTTATCTTTTGAAGGACAAACCGTGGGAGATCCGGATTTCAGATCTCTCAGGGCTCAGGAGAAGATCTGGCATTTCCATCCCTCTGTAAAATGCGAAGCGCAGGCTCGGGTGACGTCATCTCCGCCTCCGGGCCGTGCAGTGAACAGGGGGGGGGGGGGCTGAGCTGCAGCCTCCACTCCCTTTTTGCTAATTAAAATGGCCCTTGCTGTTAGACGACTAATGTTTTAAAGGGGGGGGGGGGAGATGTACTTTCAAGAGGATTGTGCGTTTTTTGCTTTCCCGCCATTTGCATTTTCAGACGGAGATGCTGAGGCATCCTCTGCTCGACCCCTTGAGTCACAGGCAGTTTGGCCTCCTGTCTCAGACAAGGGGTCCCCCACTGGGAGAGTTGCTGCGGTTCCAGGTTGGAAAATACCTGGGGATTTTGGGTGTGGGACCTCAGTGGGGTAAAATACCATGTGGAGTCCACCCTTGAAGGCAGCCATGGTCTCCAGGGGAACTGATCTCTGTCATCTTGAGATAACGTCGTGATTCGGGGAGATCTCCAGCCACCACCTGGAGTTTAGCAACTGTAGCTTATTATGTCTGAATGCGAGACTCTGAAGCCAGGAAGTTACAAACTTACTTGGCAAGAACACAAGAGGAGCCCTGCTGGATCAGACCAGTGGTCCATCCAGTCCATCATCCTGTCTCACACAGTGGCCAACCATTTCCTCTGGAGGGCCAACAACAGGGCAGAGAGGCCGAGGCCTTCCCTTGAGAAGAACATCAGAAGAGCCCTGCTGGGTCAGACCAGTGAGGGTCCATTTAGTCCATCATCCTGTCTCACACAGTGGCCTCAACCAGTTCCTCTGGAGGGCCACCAACAGGGTAGAGAGGCCGAGGCCTTCCCCTGATAAGAGTATCAGAACAGCCTTGCTGGATCAGACCAGTGAGGATCCATCTAGTCCAGCATCCCATCTCACACAGTGGCCAGCCAGCTCCTCTGGAGGTCCAACAGCAGGGCACAGAGGCCGAGGATTTCCTCTGAGAGGAACATCAGCAGAGCCCCGCTGGGTCAGACCAGTGAGGGTCCATCTAGTCCAGCATCCTGCATCACACAGTGGCCAGCCAGTTCCACTGGAGGGCCAGCATCAGGGCAGGGAGGCCGAGGCCTTCCCCTGAGAAGAACATCAGAAGAGCCCTGCTGGGTCAGACCAGTGAGGGTCCATCTAGTCCAGCATCCTGCATCACACAGTGGCCAGCCAGTTCCACTGGAGGGCCAGCATCAGGGCAGGGAGGCCGAGGCCTTCCCCTGAGAAGAACATCAGAAGAGCCCTGCTGGGTCAGACCAGTGAGGGTCCATCTAGTCCAGCATCCTGCATCACACAGTGGCCAGCCAGTTCCACTGGAGGGCCAGCATCAGGGCAGGGAGGCCGAGGCCTTCCCCTGAGAAGAACATCAGAAGAGCCCTGCTGGGTCAGACCAGTGAGGGTCCATCTAGTCCAGCATCCTGCATCACACAGTGGCCAGCCAGTTCCACTGGAGGGCCAGCATCAGGGCAGGGAGGCCGAGGCCTTCCCCTGAGAAGAACATCAGAAGAGCCCTGCTGGGTCAGACCAGTGAGGGTCCATCTAGTCCAGCATCCTGCATCACACAGTGGCCAGCCAGTTCCACTGGAGGGCCAGCATCAGGGCAGGGAGGCCGAGGCCTTCCCTTGATGTTGCCTCTTTGCTCTGGGATTCACAGGATTAGTGCATCTGAATGCGGAGGGTCCCTCAGTCTCCGTGGCGAGTAGCCATTGGTAGACTCATCCTCCATGCCTAATCCTCCTTTAAAGCTGTCTATGCCTGTGGCCATCATCACTACATCTTCTGGCAGTGAATTCCACATTTGAATCGCTCTCTGTGTAAAGTGGTATTCCCTTTTGTCCGCCCTGAACCTACTGCCCATCAGCTCCATTGGACTGAGGCAAAGAAGAAAGAGACAAGCACTCTGTCCCACCCATGGCTCAGACTTTGCTGAAGGAGGGGGAAGCCGTGGGCGCACAAAAGGGAAAAGTGCGCATTGCTGTTCAACGACAACTGAGTTGCCATCCCCCAGGTGCGGCCTGGAGATCTCCTGGAATCACAGCTGATCTCCAGCTGGCAGAGGCCAATTTCCTCTGGAGGAAATGGCTGCGTTGGAGGCTGGACTCTCTGGCATTGTGCCCTGAGGAGGTCCCTCACCGGGCTCTAACCAATGCTTCCCCTAAGCCGTGGAGTCTTGTGAGCGAAAATTCTACTTTGTGAGCTCCTGGCACGAAAGTTGTGAGGGAACGATTGGGCTACGGCATACATTAGTTTGCTCTGGAGCCCATCCTTCCTGAGCTGAGACAAAAATGTCTGCGCCGGAGGCTAAAAAACTGCGAGCGGGCTCACACTCACTCAGCTTAGAGGGAGCACTGGCTCTAACCCCCTAGATCTCCAGGAATTTCTCAAGCCGGAGTTGGCAACTGTACCGGGAAGCACGACCCTTTGCGTATTTAAAAACATGCCTTATGCAGTTCCGACGCCTGTTTTGTTGCCAAAGAAACCCTGAACAATGACATAATAAAATACTAATTTAAGAAAAAGTGTTCATTTAAATGTTTTATGCCTCCCTTTTAATGGGCACGGGGGGGGGAATTGCCATTTAATAAAGCCTTCCTTTCATTGTTTGCTATATAAAATTACTTGGGCGCTTTGAAGGGGCAGGATCGGCAGCCTCAGAACGCGATATTAATACCAATTATCGCTATTAATTTCCGTCGTGGTTTCATTCCGGTCCGCGTTTAACGGGCCAGAGGTATCATTACTTGATTAATCAAGCGATTCTTTTTATCCGTTTCCCGATGCGTTTTTTTAATTGTCTCCCTGACTAGCTAA